GATGCAAAACCCAGGTGTGTGGGAAGTTATGGTATCTCGAGCGTTTTCGCATGTCCAAGTTCTTGAGTGGTACCCCACCAAACAACAACCTGTTTTTTCATTTAGGATCTTGTTCCCTTAGCTTAGCTTAGCTTCGTGTTCGCTTCGCTTAGGCTTGCTTCACTTTGCTTAGCTTCGCTTCGCTTCGCTAAGCTTCTCTTAGCTTCGCTTCGCTTCGCTTAGCTTTGCTTTGCTTCGCTTAGCTTCGCTTCGCTTCGCTTCTCTTCGCTTCTCTTTGCTTCACTTCCCTTAGCTTTGCTTCGGTTCCCTTAGCTTTGCTTAGCTTCGCTTCGCTTCGCATACCTGCGCTTAGCTTCGCTTTGATTCTCTTAGCTTCGCTTCTCTTTGCTTCGCTTCTCTATGCTTCTCTTCGCTTCGCTTCGCCTCGCTTAGCTTCTCTTAGCTTCGCTTCGCTTCGCTTAGCTTTGCTTTGCTTCGCTTAGCTTTGCTTCGTTTCACTTCGCTTCTAATAGCTTCGCTTCACTTCGCATAGCTTCACTTTGCTTTTCTTCGCGCTTCTCTTCGCTTCGCTTTGCTTAGCTTCGCTTAGCTTCGCTTCGCTTCGCTTTGCTTCACTTTGCTTCGCTTTGCTTCGCTTCGCTTCGCTTTGCTTCGCTTAGCTTCGCTTCGCTTCGCGTAGCTTTGCTTAGATTCGCTTCGCTTAGCTTCGCTTAGCTTTGCTTTGCTTCGCGTAGCTTCGCTTCGCTTCGCATATCTTCGCTTCTTTGCGCTTCTCTTCGCTTTGCTTTGCTTAGCATCGCTTCGCTTCGCTTCGCTTCGCTTAGCCTCGCTTTGCTTCCCTTTGCTTCGCTTCGCTTCGCTTAGCCTCGCTTCGCTTTGCTTCGCTTAGCTTTGCTTCGCTTCGCTTAGCTTTGCTTCGCTTCGCTTCTCTTCGCTTCTCTTCACTTCTCTTCACTTCTCTTCCCTTAGCTTCGCTTAGCTTCGCTTCGCTTTGCTTCCCTTAGCTTCGCTTTGCTTCGCTCCCCTTAGCTTCCCTTAGCTTTGCTTCGCTTCGCTTCGATTAGCTTCGCTTCGCTTCGCTAAGCTTCCTGTTTGCTTCACATCGCTTAGCTTCGCTTAGCTTTGCATAGCTGCGGTTAGCTTCGCTTAGCTTCGCTTCGCTTCGCTTACCTTCGGTTCGCTTCGCTTACCTTCGCTTTGCTTTGCTTACCTTCCCTTTGCTTCCCTTAGCTTCCCTTCGCTTCGCTTAGCTTCGCTTAGATTCGCTTAGCTTCTCTTAGCTTCGCTGCGCTTCTCTTAGCTTCGCTTAGCTTCGCTTCGCTTCGCTTCGCTTCGCTTCGCTTTGCTTTGCTTCGCTTCGCTTCACTTAGCTTTGCTTCGTTTCACTATGCTTCGCTTAGCTTCGCTTCGCTTTGCTTAGCTTTGCTTTGCTTCCCTTAGCTTCGGTTCGCTTCCCTTAGCTTCGCTTCGCTTCGCATACCTGCGCTTAGCTTCGCTTTGATTCTCTTAGCTTTGCTTCACTTCGCTTCGCTTCTCTATGCTTCTTTTCGCTTCTCTTCGCTTCGCTTGGCTTCGCTTCGCTTCCCTTAGCTTGGGTTCACTTCCCTTAGCTTCGCTTAGCTTCGCTTCGCTTCTCATAGCTGCGCTTAGCTTTGCTTTGGTTCTCTTAGCTTCGCTTCTCTTCGCTTTGCTTCTCCTTGCTTCTCTTTGCTTCGCTTCGCTTAGCTTCGCTTAGCTTCGCTTCGCTTAGCTTCGCTTTACTTCACTTCGCTTAGCTTCGCTGCGCTTCGCTTCTCTTCGCTTCGCTTCGCTTCCCTTAGCTTCGCTTAGCTTCGCCTTGCTTCGCTTTATTTCTCTTTGCTTCGCTTAGCTTCGCTTTGCTTCGCTTCGCTTCTCTTTGCTTCTCTTTGCTTTGCTTGCTTTGCCTAGCTTCGCTAAGCTTCGCTTTGCTTCGCTTAGCTTCGCTTCGCTTAGCTTTGCTTTGCTTCGCTTCCCTTAGCTTCGCTTCACTTCGCTTAGCATCGCTTAGCTTTGCTTCGCTTCTCTTCGCTTTTCTTCTTCGCTTCTCTTCACTTCCCTTAGCTTCGCTTAGCTTCGCTCCGCTTTGCTTCCCTTAGCTTCGCTTCGCTTAGCTTCACTTCGCTTCGCTTCCCTTAGCTTCCCTTAGCTTTGCTTCGCTTCGCTTCGCGTCGCTTTGCTTCGATTAGCTTCGCTTAGCTTCCTGTTTGCTTCGCTTCGCTTTGCTTCTTGTTCGCTTCGCTTAGCCTCGCTTCGCTTAGCTTCGCTTCGCTTCGCTTAGCTTCGCTTACCTTCCCTTCGCTTCGCTTACCTTCACTTCGCTTCGCTTAGTTTCGCTTCGCTTCGCTTAGCTTCGCTTAGCTTCGCTTAGCTTCTCTTAGCTTCGCTTCGCTTCTCTTAGCTTCGCTTAGCTTCGCTTTTCTTCGCTTCGCTTCGCTCCGCTTCACTTTGCTGCCCTTAGCTTTGGTTCTCTTCCCTTAGCCTCGCTTCTCTTAGCTACGCTTTGCTTCGCATACCTGCGCTTAGCATCGCGTTGATTCTCTTAGCTTCGCTTCTCTTTGCTTCGCTTCTCTATGCTTCTATTCGCTTCGCTTCGCTTCACTTAGCTTCGCTTCGCTTCTCTTCGCTTTTCTTCGCTTCGCTTTACTTCGCTTGGCCTCGCTTAGCTTTGCATCGCTTCGCTTCGCTTCGCTTCGCTTCGCTTCCCTTAGCTTTGGTTCACTTCCCTTAGCTTCGCTTAGCTTCGCTTCGCTTAGCTTCGCTTCGCTTCGCTTAGCTTCGCTTGGCTTCGCTTTGCTTTACTTCGCTTAGCTTTGCTTCGCTTCTCTTCTCTTCGCTTCGCTTCCCTTTGCTTCGCCTTGCTTCGCTTTGCTTCTCTTAGCTTCGCTAAGCTTCGCTTTGCTTCGCTTAGCTTTGCTTCGCTTCTCTTTGCTTCTCTTAGCTTCGCTTCGCCTAGCTTCGCCTATCTTTGCTTAGCTTCGATTAGCTTCGCTTCGCTTAGCTTCGCTTCGCTTAGCTTCGCTTAGCTTCTCTTTGCTTCGCTTCGCTTAGCTTCGCTTTGCTTAGCTTCGCTTAGCTTTGCTTTGCTTCACTTCGCTTAGCTTTGCTTCGCTTCTCTTTTCTTCGCTTCGCTTCCCTTAGCTTCGCTTAGCTTCGCCTTGCTTCGCTTTGCTTCTCTTAGCTTTGCTAAGCTTCGCTTTGCTTCGCTTAGCTTTGCTTTGCTTCGCTTAGCTTTGCTTCGCTTCTCTTTGCTTCTCTTTGCTTCGCTTCGCCTAGCTTCGCCTAGCTTTGCTTAGCTTCTGCTTAGCTTCGCTTCGCTTCGCTTCTCTTAGCTTCGCTTCGCTTCGCTTCGCTTTGCTTGCTTCGCTTCGCTTAGCTTTGCTTCGTTTTCACTATGCTTCCGCTTAGCTTCGACTTCGCTTGCTTAGCTTCGCTTAGCTTCGATTTGCTTCGCATACTTCGCTTTAGCTTCGCTTGATTCGTCTTAGCTTCGCTTCACTTCGCTTCGCTTCTCTATGCTTCTGCTTCGCTTCGCTTCTCTTCACTTTGCTTCGCTTCGCTTCGCTTCGCTTCGCTTCGCTTTGCTTCGCTTCGCTTAGCTTCGCTTCGCTTCGCTTCGCTTCGCTTAGCTTCGCTTTGCTTCGCTTCCCTTGCTTTGCTTCACTTTGCTAGCTGCGCTTAGCTTTGCTTCGCTTCTCTTCGCTTCTCTTCGCTTTGCTTCGCTTCCCTTAGCTTCGCTTAGCTTCGCCTTGCTTCGCTTAGCTTCGCCTCGTTTCTCTTAGCTTCGCTTAGCTTCGCTTCGCTTCCTTCTTTCGCTTCGTCTTTCGCTTCGCTTTCACTTTAGCTTCGCAAAGCTTCACTTAGCTTCGCTTTGCTTCGCTTCGCTTAGCTTCGCTTCGCTTCGCTTCGCTTAGCTTCGCTTCCCTTGCTTCTTAGCTTTCGCTTAGCTTGCTTTCGCCTTTTAGCTTCGCTTTGCTTCGCTTCGCTTCTCTTGCTTTGCTTCGCTTCGCTTAGGCTTCGCTTCGCTTAGCTTCCTTTGCTCGCTTCGCTTCTCTTAGCTTCGCTTCTTAGCTTCGCTTCGCTTTAGCTTCGCTTGCTCTCTGCTTCGCTTCTCGCTTCTTCGCTTCGCTTCGCTTAGCTTCGCTTCGCTTAGCTTTCGCTTCGCTTAGCTTCGCTTAGCTTCGCTTCGCTTCGCTTTGCTTAGCTTCGACTCCGCTTCTCTTCGCTTAGCTTCCTTAGCTTCGCTTAGCTTCGCTTCGCTTTAGCTTCGCTTTGCTTCTCTTCGCTTCTCTTCGCTTCGTTCGCTTGCTTCGCTTAGCTTCGCTTAGCTTTGCTTCGCTTTTGCTTAGCTTCGCTTCGCTTCGCTTAGCTTCGCTTAGCTTCGCTTCGCTTCGCTTCGCTTAGCTTCGCTTCGCTTAGCTTTGTTAGGATTAAGGACAGAGTCTAGGTGAACTTAGGAGCTAGAATTACTCAAAATATAAATCCGAAATTCTGGACAGAAAAGTCGTCTTCACAAGAAACGACGTCGACAAAACACTAGCCGTTGGAATGTCGCGAAACTTGGATATGTTGTAGCTCTTAATCTCAGCTACCGTTCCCAATTTGAATCATGTTGATTGATGAAGTATTCGCGACGCTATGGCTTTCGACGCATTAGGGGGTAAGCTGTAGGAGGAGAACTTAACTCAATCTCAAGAGTTCAATCAAAGTTCAAGAATCTCACAAGGAATTAGAAGGAGCAAGAGAAAGGTTGGGATAGGAAGAGAGGGATGAGAGGGAAGGTCCCAAGAGAGTCCCCAACCAAGGAAACCCCATAAGCACAAAGATTCCCTCCCTATAGGAACCCCAACTTTGACATTTGTCCCTTCCCAACCAATCCATCCAAGTTGGCCACCCTTGCCAACCTAGCTTGGTTGTTCCCAACCAATTTGCAGCTGTTACAGTAGAGTGACAATTTCCCCAACCCCAAAGGTCCCAACTCCATATAGAGTCACCCCACAACTTCACTTGTAACCGCCGCAATTGTAACGCAAGCTCATGAACTTTGAATCTTCATAGCTTTCGCGTTCTTGCTCCGATTGAAGCGATTCTTGTTGCGTCGGAAAGATCTTCTCAAGATCTATCATCACAAATACCTGCTCAGACAAAATAACACAAAACACATTCCCAAACTCCAGAACACACCACACACAAATGCTTGCACATTCAAACCACACATGCAAGTTGAAAAAACATGGGATGGGAGGCAGACAGAATGTGATAGCATATGATGACATCACACAACAATCTCCCCCTCTGGCTGCCAACCATCATCGACCATACCACATCTCAAGCATGCATACTCAATGCACACTCATCCCAGCAAGCTTCATGCCCTTCCAATGATCCGCCTCCGCCAGACGCTTAGGTGAAAATATCTGCTGCCTGCTGATGGGTCTTCACTATCTCCAGCCGCACCTCCTTATCAAGGAGTCTCCTCACCCAATGCCACTTAGGCCTTATGTGTTTTGTCAGCCCATGCAGACAAGCATTCTTGGCGAGCTTCACAGCGGACTCATTGTCACAAAACACAACTGTCGGCTTCTCCTGACCAACTCCCAACTCCTCCAACAAACGCCTTAGCCACACTACTTCCTTGGCCCCATGGTGTAAGGCCATGTACTCAGTCTCACATGAGGACAATCCCACCTCATTCTGCTTCTTGCTGCGCCAGCTCACAGCACCACCTCCTAGCAAGCACACATAACCCCCAATGCTGGTGCCATCCGCTTTCACTGAGTTGAAGCTAGCGTCAGTATAGCAACTCAAGAGCATCTCTCCACTCTTCACATCTGCAGCACCTCTCTGCAACCGCTGCCTCACTCCACTGTACTCCAATCCCACTGATGCCGTAGCACTCACATAGCGGACCAACCTCTTGGCCGCTTCCAGCTGCTCATGACTAGGGCGTGAGACCACACTAGCCAACCGTGATGTAGAAAATGCAATGTCAGGCCGTGTATGATTTGCAGCATAATTCAGCGACCCAACCATCGAATGAAACAGCTTCCTGTCACTATCACCCACTACCTCCTCATCAGCACATGGCTCCACAGTAAACCCTGAAGGTAGTGGTGTTGCTGGCTTTCCCCCATCTTGCAGCCCATACTTCTCAGCCAGCCCCTCACAGTACTTCCTCTGGTGCAACCTCAGCACACCCTTTTCCACATCTCTCTCCACGTGCATCCCCAAGTAGTACTTCACCTCACCCATCTTGGAGCACTTGAACTGCATCTCCAGCATCTGCTCTGCGCTGTCCAGCAAAGCAGTTGATGCAGAAAAGAGAAGGATATCATCCACATACACCAAGAGCATGAGGATTTCATCCTTCTCCTGCAGCAGGAACAGGCTGGGGTCACACTCACTCTTCTTGAAACCCCCAGCCAACAGCGCCTCCTCCAACTTGTGATACCATGCACGAGGCGCCTGCTTAAGGCCATAGATGGCCTTCTTCAGCCTGCAGACCCTGCCGCTCCCGTCATCCAGCCCCTCTGGCTGCTTCATGTACACCTCCTCCATAATGATCCCATTCAGAAAGGCAGTCACAATGTCCATCTGCCGTATCTTCCATCCCAGGAGTGCAGCTATCGCCAACAGCACCCTCAGTGTTGTTCCTTTCCCCACAGGAGCAAACACCTCATCATAGTCCTTCCCTTTTGTCTGCTGAAACCCCCTTGCCACAAGCCTGGACTTGTAGCGGGTCAGCTCCCCTTCAGGTCCATACTTGTGCCTGTAGATCATCTTGGAAGTGATTGCCTTCTTTCCAGGAGGCAAGTCACACAGGTCCCATGTCTCGTTCTCAATTAGGGACCCGAACTCCTCATCCTCACTCGCCTTCCACTTCTCCCCATTTGGTCCATTCAAGGCCTCCTCTCGAGTCTTGGGCTCAGGGATTGGTGCCCAGTAGCAGTGAGCGATCTCATCTTCCTCAATCTGCTCAACCACACTCCCAGCCTGCACCACATTTGGCTTGCCTCTTCCCCCATAGGTCAGCCTCACTGGAGGGCGCACATCCCTCCTAGGACGCTCAGGCGGGTGTGGAACTCGAGGTGGAGACTCATGCTGCTGCTGCTGCTGCTCTACTTCAGCTGCTCCCCCTTCCTCAGTCACCCCAGACATCTCCTCCTCTGACACTGCAACCTCCACCTGTCTTGAAGGCTGCTGCACCTCATCTGCCTCCACAATGAGCGGTGTAGATGGAAGCTTCTGTTGCTGCTGCTTCCATTCCTTGTAGTACAGGGACTCAAGAAACTTCACATCCCTTGACACTGTCAACTTCTGGGTGGTCAAGTCCCATAGCAGCCACCCCTTGTGATCCTTTGCAATCCCCAAGTGCACACCCCATCTTCCAGAAGCCTCCAACTTCCCCCTTTTCTCCTTAGGCACATGAAACACCACCATGCACCCAAATGCCCTCAGCATGTTCACAGCTGGAGCACTCCCATACCACTTGGCATATGGGATCCACTCCTTATCTCCAACTGTAGCCAGCACCCTATTCTTCACAAGGGCGACCTGCCTCAGTGCAGACACCCAAAACGGATCAGGCAGCCCTGCACGCCCAAGGAGAGTGCGTGCCCCCTCCTGCAGGGTCCTGTTGAACCTCTCAGCCACGCCATTCTGCTGCGGGTTGTAGGGCACTGTCAGTTGATGCTGGATCCCCTTCCTCTTCAACTCCCCCTCAAAATCAGCTCCAATGAACTCCCCACCATTGTCACTACGGATCACCTTCACCTTGTGTCCGCATTCCCTCTGAGCTCTAGGCATCCACTCCTTAAGGACAGCCGCTGCCACCTCCCCCTTGCTCTTCAAAGGGTAAACCCACACTGCCCGAGTGTGGTCATCCACAATTGTCAAGAAATAGCGGCTGCCTGAGAGGGAAGGGGCTCTTGTGGGCCCCACCACATCCATGTGCACAAGTGCAAGTGGGGTCTTGGCTGGTCCTGTAGTGCTGTTGAAGGGGAACTTGGAGAACTTGGTCTCCAAGCATGTAGGGCAGCTCCCAATCTCCTTCACTCCCCCTTTCACCTCCAAGCCCTTCAGGCTCCCATCCTTCACCAACTTCTGCAGCATAGGGAAGTTCACATGACACAGCCTCTCATGCCATGTCTCCCAATCGGCCTCTCCACTCCTTGATGAAGCCTTAGCCCATGCCGCACTCGCATCCACACCAGCAAGCACCTCACCATGTGTCTGCTGCTGCTGCACTTTCTTGACTGCTTCCAGGACCCCATCAGTTGGTGCAGTTGCATCTCCTCCTGCTGTTGCCTTTGCCGCTGCTGCCGTTGCTGCTGTTGGAGTCTTCCCATTCCATGGGATGATGGGCAGCTGCCACAGGTCCTTGATGCAGCTGGTCTCCTCTTCCAGACTCCACAGCACCTTCTTCCCAAGCTTAGCACGGCAGCTGGTTGGTCCAAAGGTCACTTCGGCCTTGCTCTTCTGCAGTCGTCGCACAGAGAGAAGGTTAGCAGACAAGCCTTCAACCAGCAGAACATTCCCAAGCCCCACAAGCTCCCCATTAGCTCCCTTAACCTTGGCATTCCCAACACCAATCACGGGGAGCAAAGCACCTGACGCTGCTGCCACATACTTAATCTTCCCAGGGGGTTTTACCTCATCAAGCAAATCTGCCCGTGGAGTCATGTGACTGGTGCAACCCGAATCAATCACCCAGTGCGTGAGAGGGTGCATCACAACCTTTCCGACAGATCCCACATCACCCTCATGCCCATGCACATCCTCAACCATGAGATACATCCCAGGATAGGCGTTACCTTGTGCACCTTCACCTTGTGCACCTGAGCCTTGCACAGCGCCACCTTGTGCGCGTTCACCACTTGGCGGCTTCATGCCTGGAGGTGACCATCCCTCCAGCCTGCTGAAGCACTTGAACCAAGGATGCCCGACCTTCTTGCAGTACCAGCAGGTGCCCTCCATTCTGGTACTCCCCCTGCCACTGGAGCTCCCATGCCCCTCATTATAGTCACCTCGGCCTCTACCTCTGCCAAAGCTTCTCCCACGGCCTCGGCCTCTCCAACCCCCTCTTCCTCTGCTGCGCCCTGCAGCTCCATACCCCTCAGCAGTCTTAGTGGCAGCACCGCCTCCCACATGGCGTCTGCGGAAGTCCTCCTGCAGAATCTGCTGCCTTAGCCACTCAGGTGTCCATTGATCTTGCTGAGAGTTGAGGGTGGGGATGAGGTTGTCCCAAGAGTTGTCCAACACCGAGATGATCTTGGTGCACTGCTGCAGCTGAGATACACTGCTGCCCGCTGCTGCCATCCTTGCATAGGTGTCCTTGATCTTGTCAAGGACCGGCTTCACATCGTCCCCTGGTCGCATGGAGATGGCAGCAAGTTCCTTCTCGAGCACGATCACCATCGGGAGAGTGTTGGGCTGAACCACATCACGTAGTAGTTTCCACGCCCTTGGACCCGAATCATCCGCTTCCACAAGATCCTTGATGTGCTCGAACATCTCCTTGTTGACCGATTGAAGAATGAGGTCGAAAAGCACCGCGCTTTTCTCAATCCACCGTTCACGTGCTTCGCCTTCTTCCGGCATCTTCTCTTCCCCAACAGCAATCTTCAGGAGCTTGTAGCGTTTGAAGGCACTCCTCATCCGTCCGCTCCATTCCTCATAGTTGGAGCCATCCAAAGCTTCAACTTTTGATGGCGGCGGCTCACTTGTCTTCTCAGCTACAGCTCCTCTTCCATTAGCATCTCCTCCTCTCTCATTCATCTTCTCCTTGAGAAATGACGAATTTCAGCTCCCCTTTGCTGTCCACACTCAGCTCCCTCGATATTTTCACAAGTGTCGGCGTCCACGAAATTTCGGCAGAGTTTCCCCTTAGCGGAAGACACATCCAACCTTTAGAACACCACTTAGGCACACCCACAGGCCATGGTGGGTCTAGAAGGGTCTTCACACTTCTGTAGACTCCTCTCAATGTCCTTAATATCGCTCTGATACCACTTGTTAGGATTAAGGACGGAGTCTAGGTGAACTTAGGAGCTAGAATTACTCAAAATATAAATCCGAAATTCTGGACAGAAAAGTCGTCTTCACAAGAAACGACGTCGACAAAACACTAGCCGTTGGAATGTCGCGAAACTTGGATATGTTGTAGCTCTTATCTCAGCTACCGTTCCCAATTTGAATCATGTTGATTGATGAAGTATTCGCGACGCTATGGCTTTCGACGCACTAGGGGGTAAGCTGTAGGAGGAGAACTTAACTCAATCTCAAGAGTTCAATCAAAGTTCAAGAATCTCACAAGGAATTAGAAGGAGCAAGAGAAAGGTTGGGATAGGAAGAGAGGGATGAGAGGGAAGGTCCCAAGAGAGTCCCCAACCAAGGAAACCCCATAAGCACAAAGATTCCCTCCCTATAGGAACCCCAACTTTGACATTTGTCCCTTCCCAACCAATCCATCCAAGTTGGCCACCCTTGCCAACCTAGCTTGGTTGTTCCCAACCAATTTGCAGCTGTTACAGTAGAGTGACAAGTTTCCCCAACCCCAAAGGTCCCAACTCCATATAAAGTCACCCCACAACTTCACTTAGTAACCGCCGCAATTGTAACGCAAGCTCATGAACTTTGAATCTTCATAGCTTTCGCGTTCTTGCTCCGATTGAAGCGATTCTTGTTGCGTCGGAAAGATCTTCTCAAGATCTATTATCACAAATACCTGCTCAGACAGAATAACACAAAACACATTCCCAAACTCCAGAACACACCACACACAAATGCTTGCACATTCAAACCACACATGCAAGTTGAAAAAACATGGGATGGGAGGCAGACAGAATGTGATAGCATATGATGACATCACACAACACTAAGCGAAGCGAAGCTAAGCGAATCTAAGCGAAGTGAAGCAAAGCGAAGCGACGCGAAGCGAAGCTAAGCGAAGCTAAGTGAAGTTAAGCCAAGCTAAGCAAAGCTAAGCGAAGCAAAGCAAAGCGAAGCGACGCGAAGCGAACTAAGCAAAGCTAAGGGAAGCTAAGTGAAGCTAAGCCAAGCTAAGCAAAGCTTAGCGAAGCGAAGCAAAGCTAAGCGAAGCGAAGCGAAGCGAAGCTAAGCGAAGCAAAGCTAAGCGAAGCGAAGCGAAGCGAAGCGAAGGGAAGCAAAGCGAAGCGAAGCAAAGCGAAGCAAAGCGAAGCGAAGCTAAGCGAAGCTAAAGGAAGCGAAGCGAAGCTTAGCGAAGCGAAGCTCAGCGAAGCTAAGCGAAGCGAAGCAAAGCTAAGCAAAGCGAATCGAAGCGAAGCGAAGCTAAGCGAAGCTAAGGTAAGCTAAGCAAAGCTAAGGGAAGCTAAGCGAAGCTAAGCGAAGCTAAGCAAAGGTAAGCGAAGCGAAGCCAAGCTAAGCGAAGCGAAGCCAAGCTAAGCGAAGCGAAGCGAAGCGAAGATAAGCGAAGCGAAGCGAAGCGAAGCGAAGCGAAGCGAAGCTAAGCAAAGCAAAGCGAAGCGAAGCGAAGCGACGCAAAGCGAAGCGAAGCGAAGCGAAGGGAAGCGAAGCGAAGCGAAGCGAAGCTAAGCGAAGCTAAAGGAAGCGAAGCGAAGCTTAGCGAAGCGAAGCTTAGCGAACCGAAGCTCAGCGAAGCTAAGCGAAGCTAAGCGAAGCGAAGCAAAGCGAATCGAAGCGAAGCGAAGCTAATCAAAGCTAAGGTAAGCTAAGCGAAGCTAAGGGAAGCTAAGCGAAGCTAAGCGAAGCTAAGCAAAGGTAAGCGAAGCGAAGCCAAGCTAAGCGAAGCGAAGCGAAGCGAAGCGAAGCGAAGATAAGCGAAGCGAAGCGAAGCGAAGCTAAGCGAAGCTAAGCGAAGCAAAGCTAAGCGAGGAGAAGCGAAGCTAAGCGAAGCGAAGCTAAGCGAAACGAAGGTAAGCGAAGCTAAGCAAATCTAAGCGAAGCTAAGCAAAGCTAAGCGAAGCGAAGCTAAGCGAATCTAAGCGAAGTGAAGCAAAGCGAAGCGACGCGAAGCGAAGCTAAGCGAAGCTAAGTGAAGTTAAGCCAAGCTAAGCAAAGCTAAGCGAAGCAAAGCAAAGCGAAGCGACGCGAAGCGAACTAAGCAAAGCTAAGGGAAGCTAAGTGAAGCTAAGCCAAGCTAAGCAAAGCTTAGCGAAGCGAAGCAAAGCTAAGCGAAGCGAAGCGAAGCGAAGCTAAGCGAAGCAAAGCTAAGCGAAGCGAAGCGAAGCGAAGCGAAGGGAAGCAAAGCGAAGCGAAGCAAAGCGAAGCAAAGCGAAGCGAAGCTAAGCGAAGCTAAAGGAAGCGAAGCGAAGCTTAGCGAAGCGAAGCTCAGCGAAGCTAAGCGAAGCGAAGCAAAGCTAAGCAAAGCGAATCGAAGCGAAGCGAAGCTAAGCGAAGCTAAGGTAAGCTAAGCAAAGCTAAGGGAAGCTAAGCGAAGCTAAGCGAAGCTAAGCAAAGGTAAGCGAAGCGAAGCCAAGCTAAGCGAAGCGAAGCCAAGCTAAGCGAAGCGAAGCGAAGCGAAGATAAGCGAAGCGAAGCGAAGCGAAGCGAAGCGAAGCGAAGCTAAGCGAAGCAAAGCTAAGCGAAGAGAAGCGAAGCTAAGCGAAGCGAAGCTAAGCGAAGCGAAGCTAAGCGAAGCTAAGCGAATCTAAGCGAAGCTAAGCAAAGCTAAGCGAAGCGAAGCTAAGCGAATCTAAGCGAAGCGAAGCAAAGCGAAGCGACGCGAAGCGAAGCTAAGAGAAACTAAGTGAAGTTAAGCCAAGCTAAGCAAAGCTAAGCGAAGCAAAGCAAAGCGAAGCGACGCGAAGCGAAGCTAAGCAAAGCTAAGGGAAGCTAAGTGAAGCTAAGCCAAGCTAAGCAAAGCTAAGCGAAGCGAAGCAAAGCTAAGCGAAGCAAAGCGAAGCGAAGCGAAGCGAAGCGAAGAAAAGCGAAGCGAAGCGAAGCGAAGCGAAGCGAAGCGAAGCGAAGCGAAGCGAAGCGAAGCGAAGCGAAGCGAAGCGAAGCGAAGCGAAGCGAAGCGAAGCGAAGCGAAGCGAAGCGAAGCGAAGCTAAGCGAAGCTAAACGAAGCAAAGCGAAGCAAAGCAAAGCGAAGCGAAGCTAAGGAAAGCTAAGGAAAGCTAAGCGAAGCTAGGCGAAGCTAAGCGAAGGGAAGCTAAGCGAAGCTAAGCGAAGCTAAGCGAAGCTAAGCGAAGCTAAGCGAAGCTAAGCGAAGCTAAGCGAAGCGAAGCGAAGCTAAGCGAAGCTAAGCGAAGCGAAGCGAAGCGAAGCGAAGCTAAGCGAAGCGAAGCGAAGCGAAGCGAAGCGAAGCGAAGCGAAGCGAAGCGAAGCGAAGCGAAGCGAAGCGAAGCGAAGCGAAGCGAAGCTAAGCGAAGCGAAGCTATGCGAAGCAATGCGAAGCGAAGCTAAGCGAAGCTAAGGAAAGCTAAGGAAAGCTAAGCGAAGCGAGGCGAAGCTAAGCGAAGGGAAGCTAAGCGAAGCGAAGCGAAGCTAAGCGAAGCGAAGCGAAGCGAAGCGAAGCGAAGCTAAGCGAAGCGAAGCTATGCGAAGCGAAGCGAAGCGAAGCTAAGCGAAGCGAAGCTAAGCGAAGCGAAGCGAAGCGAAGCGAAGCTAAGCGAAGCGAAGCGAAGCTAAGCGAAGCGAAGGGACGCTAAATGAAGCGAAGTGAAACTAAGCGAAGCGAAGCTAAGCGAAGCGAATCGAAGCGAAGCGAAGCTAAACGAAGCGAAGCTAAGCAAAGCGAAGCTAAACGAAGCGAAGCTAAGCGAAGCTAAGCGAAGCGAAGCGAAGCAAAGCGAAGCTAAGCGAAGCGAAGCAAAGCGAAGCGAAGCTAAGCGAAGCTAAGCGAAGCGAAGCTAAGCGAAGCGAATTGAAGCGAAGCGAAGCGAAGCTAAGCAAAGCGAAGCGAAGCTAAGCAAAGAGAAGTGAAGCGAAGCTAAGCAAATCGAAGAGATGCGAAGCGAAGCTATGAAAGGCTAAGAGAAGCGAAGTGAAGCGAAGCGAAGCTAAGCGAAGCTAAGCGAAGCGAAGGAAGCAAAGCGAAGAGAAGCAAAGCGAAGCAAAGCGAAGCTAAGCAAAGCGAAGCGAAGCTAAGCAAAGAGAAGTGAAGCGAAGCTAAGCAAATCGAAGAGATGCGAAGCGAAGCTATGAAAAGCTAAGAGAAGCAAAGTGAAGCGAAGCGAAGCGAAGCGAAGCAAAGCGAAGCGAAGCGAAGCTAAACGAAGCGAAGCGAAGCGAAGCGAAGCGAAGCGAAGCGAAGCGAAGCGAAGCTAAGCGAAGCTAAGCGAAGCAAAGCGAAGCGAAGCAAAACGAAGCGAAGCTAAGCAAAGGGAAGCTAAGCAAAGCCAAGGAAAGCTAAGCGAAGCGAGGCGAAGCTAAGCGAAGCGAAGCTAAGCGAAGCTAAACGAATCTAAGCGAAGCTAAGCGAAGCTAAGCGAAGCGAAGCTAAGCGAATCTAAGCGAAGCGAAGCAAAGCGAAGCGACGCGAAGCGAAGCTAAGCAAAGCTAAGTGAAGTTAAGCCAAGCTAAGCAAAGCTAAGCGAAGCAAAGCAAGGCGAAGCGACGCGAAGCGAAGCTAAGCGAAGCTAAAGGAAGCGAAGCGAAGCTTAGCGAAGCGAAGCTCAGCGAAACTAAGCGAACCTAAGCGAAGCGAAGCAAAGCAAAGCAAAGCGAATCAGAGCGAAGCGAAGCTAAGCGAAGCTTAGGTAAGCTAAACGAAGCTAAGGGAAGCTAAGCGAAGCTAAGCGAAGCTAAGCAATGGTAAGCGAAGCGAAGCCAAGCTAAGCAAAGCGAAGCGAAGCGAAGCGAAGCGAAGATAAGCGAAGCGAAGCGAAGCGAAGCGAAGCGAAGCGAAGCGAAGCTAAGCGAAGCTAAGCGAAGCGAAGCTAAGCGAAGCGAAGCTTAGTGAAGCGAAGTGAAGCGAAGCTTAGTGAAGCTAAGCGAAGCAAAGGGAAGCTAAGCAAAGAGAAGCTAAGGTATGCTAAGTGAACCAAAGCGAAGCTAAGGGAAGCGAAGCAAAGCTAAGGGAAGCGAAGCGAAGCTAAGCGAAGCGAAGCGAAGCTAAGCGAAGCGAAGCGAAGCTAAGCGAAGCGAAGCGAGCGAAGCGAAGCGAGCGAAGCGAAGCGAGCG